ATGTGAAGGGATCGAAGCTCTTGCGGGCAGACCTTTGGAGTCAACAGCCTGTCTGGTAAGTTATCACAATCATTGGCTGTGATCTAACACTGAGAATGCTCAGAGGAATAAAATGCTTCTTCCAACACAGAGTAAAGTTCAATGCAAGGTCAGAAGTGATGTTTCAAAACAAAGGCTATCAGGCTGTAAAATTTCTGAGAGACATCAGTTAGCCTTCCTCAGGATGAGTTACAGAGAAGTAATGCCTGAAAAGATATTCAAGGATCTGTGTTATTTCTAGATGAAAAAGATGTGGGAGAGTGAAGGGCAGAGGAGACAGCAAGAGAAGGCACTCAGATCTGAGAAACAGACGAGTTGGGGAGACTGAGAAGATCCTACTAATAGACATAACAGATGTACCTCAAGGTGATGATAAGGGTGCAGGCCAGGCCAGGTCCCTGGAGGTGGATCTACACTCCTTCACAGACAACAAGAGCAAGCGAAGCCCTGCTTAGGGGTGAGTACAGATTACTGCTGAGAATTCTTCCTGAACTTAATTCTTTATCCCTTGACTTTTGCTCAAATTAAATGCCATCCTTGTTCTCTGTACTCTCATTTTCTTTCATGTTTAAGGACTAGTTTTCCATCTTTGGGAGGAAAATAGAAAATGATCATTATGAGACACACAAATGGATCCAAATGATCCCTGATAGAAAACAATATTTGCATATGTAACAAAAGGCACACAAGCCGGACGTGTTCTTATCTCTTTATCCACTTCCCACAGGCACTTCACATCATACTGACCACCTGAATTTGACAAGTTCAAATCAAGATGAGTAGAAGCATAAAGTATACACCAAGACCAACTATTACAGGAAAAAAAGGCAATTGCAGTGTACTGCATTTGTATTTCTTATAATGATTTCCTATTGGAATGGTAATAGGTTAGATATTATAGAAATAAAATGTACCATGAAAGTAATTTCCCTGTCTCAATGTACATTTTGCCACATGACTACTAGGTTATCTCAGATTAGCTCTATGGCTCCCCTGCTTCTCCTGAATAGCACAGCTTATACCACCAGTACAGATCTTTCATTGTCAGTGTGCTTATTCAGTTTTGCTACCCATGAAAATAGTCATTTAATTTAAAAAAAAACATTCATAAGAAAGCAACAAGACTTCTTCCCTGAGGACATGTCATAAAGAATTGCCAGTGTTCGCTCTCTTCATACTAAGCAAACAGTAAGCCATAGAACAGCACACAACTACAGAAAGGGAAAAAGGAGACAGTCACAGCCTGGCACTACTGGTGCTTTTTGCAGGGCTTCTGTGATTAGGACTGTGTTTTCAAAGATACCATTCAGAAAGTCATTGGAGGGGGGGCAGGGGTTGTGTTATGTCAGCAGAAAAGGGTCTTGCCGGTGGTATCGCCGGTGGTTACCTCCTTCACAAGAAGCACATACTCCTGCAGTAATTGAGACCTGACTCCCAGTAGACGGATGAGAAGATGGAAAAAGGAATTTCCTTGTCCTCACAATGTTGCTCCCACATAGGAAGGAAACGCATGCCTCAGAGGTTTTACATCCATTGATTTTTTTTCATGTCAGTAAACTCTGCAAGAATATTCTTAAGTACTTCATCTCTACTTCCTCGTTAACTTTCTATTACCATTTCTAGGGGATCTTTTTGCTCTTTATTCATGTGTTACATCTATACATAAACAGGTAAGTGTGAACATACATGTGCACATACATGTACATGGACACTAGCTTGTAAATGTCTGCATACAAATGTACATGTGTGCATGTAGACATGTGTGCATATGTGAATATATGAGCTGGTATATAGCACATGTGCATAGGCTTGTATGTGAACATGCATATACATATGTATATATGCATGTGTGTAGAACACAGATGCAAACACATGCATATATGTGTAGATATATACAATTTCCCTCAATGTTTATTGATTGGTATATATATGTATATATTTATATATATAATTTTAAGTCAATTCAGTGACTTAAAATAAGTAAGGTACAGAATTGATACCTTTACCACAAAGTTTCATCAAGAATTTTCGAAGAATAAAAATCATTCATCTTATACAAATCAGAGAATTAATATTAATACATTTAAGGTATGTTTTATTCATAGACATTCACATTTTCTAAGTTGTCTTGATAATGTAACTTACAGAAACTAAAGTGTATTTCTAGGATCCAATTTGGATCCAGGGCTGTATGTTATTCTTGTGCTCACTGGTGCTCTTCATTGAAGGAACACCTCTTCATTCTCTCACAACTCCATGATATATGAAGTGTAGAAAGAAGTGCCATTGTTGTTAGCATAGTCTTCTGTGGAATTTATGTAATGATTGCTCATGTTGGAACATTTTAGTTGAGTTGGCACTGAAATGCTACTCTGTCCATCTTCAGTTCAAGAAGTCACTGCACTCATCCTTTCTTCCTGGTGAGGTTAGTTTGGACTATTAACTCTATAAGTAAGTGAAGCCACAAATTTCCATGTGAAGCCACAAATTTCCCTCACTTAATTATTAAGTATTATATAGGTAAGCACTATGAACTGCCTACATATACTTGGATTAAAAAAAAGTAATAGCATGAGTCAGGTTCCCTTAAAATGATTTTCTAGAGTGTGACATCTACCAAGTCATAATTATTTATTAAATAATTCCCCCAATGCTCATTACTTGGGCTATTAAAGGGCTTTTCAATATTCAGATGTATTTTTATGGAAAAAAAGAACAGTCTCTTCTGCCTCATTATTTTTTATTTCCTTTCAGGTTAGTAGTTGCTTATATATTCTTATTTGACACAGTGTTTGATCATTTGATACCATGTCTCTTCGATAATACAATTTCTGGAGATTTCTGTGGGGGGAGCCTACCGGAAGCTAGCTACTGGGTCCTTTTGTCATGTATTCTTCATTCTTTGGATATCCTCTTCACTTCTGAAATGACACCCCTGCCATTTATTAACTGAGGCTGTCCTTGTAGCCTGCTACTTCTCCAAAAAACTCTGGGCCCATGTACTAAGAATTTATGTGAATTACATGAGCTACTACCTGAAAAATAACACATCCAAGCTTTTGACCATCAGATAGATAAAACAGGAAATGAATGGATGTTCATATATTGATACATGCAAATATATACACATCTATGTGCCAGCTTTGAGCATGTATGATATGATAGAAGGTATATTACCTCATGAGACTCAAATGACCATTTCATATGATTCCTATCTATGGAGAGGTCTAGTTTTATAACAGATTTTGCAAAATAATAATCCATGTTTTTATTAAACTGTGGATACTTTAATTCACAGAAGAATTAATTATATGTTATGTATGTATTTATGGCATACATTATATATAAATATGCACTGTAAAGCCTAAATCTAGGTAATTAATATATGGATTACCTGACATCTTTTTCATGGTATTATGGTAAGTATAGTAAAAAGTTAGTCTGAATGATTTCAAGCCTATAGTATATCATTATTAATTATATTTATCATGTTGCATACAAAATTCATTAAATTTATTCTTGTTTTCTAACTGGGTCATTAGATCCTTTGACACACATATTCTCAGTTACTTCATTTTTCCCCCATGTCCATACTGATACCATCTTGCTTTATGCTTCTATAAATCTCTCAGTTTTAAATTATGCAGATAAGGGAGACCACACAGTACTCAAGTTTATTTGCCTGGCTATTTCAGTTAACATGCTCTGAAACTGTAGGTCATTCTGGTTACTTACTGATAAATTTATAATCTTAACAACCAGTCAGTTTATTGTGTAATTGGTAAATATTAAACTGCAGTGAAAAGATAATTCATTGGTAACTGTGATGGCAAAATTAAGACAAGGATTTATTATACTTTTAAAAACCAAAGCAATGCACACTTGTGTGGAAATTGCTGTATTTTGTCTTTTTCCCATATCTTACTTAATTTAAATCATGATGCTACAGGACTGGTATTGATTGGGGCCATTCGCCAATGAATAAAACAACAATTACTAATAAGCCTAGAGCTACTAGATCACAAATCCAGATATGAGGTTCTTCAAAGATTAGGCTTTTTGCCAATATTTTCTTTGAGCATAGGATTATTTTATATTAAGAGGCTTGCAAATAAAAGACAGATCTAATCATCAAACTCTCTTATAATGCTTCCTGAACATTCACAATAGTGGCATTAGAGAGAGGGAAAAAAATTACAAATTCTCTCCAATCACTTCTTAGAACCTAGGGCATAAGGATGATATTAAAATCCACTGAAGCATGTTTCCCAGAGGAGGTACAGCCCAGGGATTCTGGCATGGACCATGAAGTCCCAGAATTCAGGGGAAGGTGGGCATTCATGTCTTAAGCTTCTTTCTCTCCCAGAAGACCTGATGATCACACTTTTCTAAAACACCAGAAAAAAACCACAGAGGATTTTGCATTTCAGATCTGCTATTAAAATAAATATTCATGAATAAAGAGCTGAAAATCGTTTCCCAAAATGCAATAACCAGAAATGCATAAATTGGATTTTTACCTACTGTTGTTTATTCGTTATTGTGTATGGCTGTTAGCCCACAGATTCATGTTTACATAACAATGAAAGGAAAAAGGAAACAAAGATGGTTCATAAGGAGATGATAGCTGAACGCCAGAAACTAAATAACGAATGATTTATCTATCAGCAACAACAGGAAAAGGCTCACAGAACTGAGAGCCTGTGTCCCTCGAGTTCTCCATCACCCAAAGAAGAATGTATCAGGATGACCACCAGGGAATGAACAGGCCATATCACAGCAGGGAAAGGCTAATGAGGTATGAAAGAAAGTGACATTTTGCATCACCTACAACAGCCCAGAGTCCTTTGCACCTCACTGGGGAGGAAACCACGTGTTGCTCAGCCTTGGCTGTGTATTTCACTGAATCATGACTTAACTGCAATGAAAATGAGAGCTTAGGAAAAATAAGTTGCACCTACCTGGATGAGAGAGAGATCCTCAAGTAGTAATCTGAAGAGGTAGTTTCTACAAAATACAAAAAGAACACATTCATTTTTAGTGAAGACTCCAAAAAGATACACATTATATTCAGAAGAATAAAGGCTAAACATGCTTACTAGTTTTGGTTTCAAGACTATCCTATGGGTAATATATAGGTAATGCAGGTTATTTTGGCCCAGAAAAAAAGAGGTATTCAATATATCAAGTCACATCTGAAATTGAAAAAAAGAGCTCACAGATAATCACTGATATTATGTGTATCTGTGTGAGAGACAGAGATGAGGGAATTGTAAGACAGCCTGTTGTTTTCTAGAAAGAAAAGAAAACATATGGATAATCAATTCTGAAATTCAGTTTAAGTAGGATGATATGATTCTTATCACTGGAACTAACCAGGTTTTATAAATAAATTTTTTAATTCACCCACACAGGATACTGCATGCTTGTAATTGCAGCTATGACCGAGGAAGTAATAGGAGGATCACAGTCCAAAGCCAGCCCTGGGTAAAATATGAGACTCCCCCTCTATCTACAAATTAGACAAAAATAAAAAATAAAAGAACTGAGGCTAAGGCTCAAGACTTGCCTACCAAGCAAGTCTCTGAGTCCAAGTGGCAAAACAAAACAGAACAACTTAACAAGTAAATAAACATAATTTGCTTAATTCAACCTATCTAAATCTTGTCTTGTTGGAGGAACTTAGATCAGAGACATGAATTTAGTTGCCTGTCTGCCCAGGGAGCTGAGGCTATCTGGTCATAAGCCATCTCTGCAGTGACTTGAAATACAGAAAAAAAGAGAAATGCAAACTACGAATTTTCAAGGAAAAGAATGCAAAGGAAGCCAGAAATCCCTACCAAATGCCCACAAGGTACACAAGAGATTTCCACTCAGGGGTGCTGGATGGAGGTGGGGACCTTCACGAGACAGGACTCACAGGAAACAACGGGGCCACTTGGAAGACCCATCTCAATAAATTCCTCACGAGTATTCTCAAAGGTTGTGTTTTTCATAATATTTCAAGATCAACTCATCATGTAGAATTATAATTTTGTCACATAAAATCAGTAAAATTATTAGCATAAATTCCTTCAGAAAGAGGGTGCTGTTTACGTAAGTCAGGTAACAAGTACATAAGTAAACGGACAATATTTGCTATTTGATAATACTAATGGATATTACTTAACCATGTTTACTCAATAAAGACTATTTGAAAAATTTAAAACTGGAGTCATCAGAACTGTCTATAATTTTGAAAAATCTCAATGTCTATTTCTCAGTGAGGATTTTGATTACATAAATTTCACCGTATTGTGGGATGGTGATATGTAGCTAAAGTTACGAACATGTTTTAACCTTCACAAGGCGCATTGCCATTATCATGGTCTATGATCTTTGATATTACTACTATTTCTTCCACATTGGTGATATGTACATTTCTTTCCTTGTGCTTAGTGTGAGCAGTTCCCTCTAACTCTCTCATTCCCTCCTCCCATCACTGCCCTTAAGTTGGTTAGTTCATCCATGTCCAGGGTAGCTGATGGGCCCCTCCTTTGTATTTTTTCACCTGTTTCCTCCTGATTCTGTACCCTCCTCCTCGCTTTCCCCAGATGTGCATATGTATATACCATATGTGAGGTCAAGAACACAGAGTCATCTAAAAATGATGCAACAAATTAAGAAGAGATTCTCTACAAAGGAGGAGGCAACAATGCTGGATAAGAAATGTACTCATTACCTTGCTCATGTAATTGTAACCCCTCTGTATGGTATTTTCACAATAAGAAAAACCTTATTAATTAAAAAAAAGAAGAGGTCCTTTATTCTTGAGTCCTGTTTTCTTTCTCATATCTCCTTGCATTGTGAATTTAATATCCACATATCAGGGAGACCATGTGCCATTTGTCTCTCTGATCTTGGCTTGTTTCGCTCAGTTTGTTTGTTCTAGTTGCATCCATTTACTTGCAAATGTTATTATTTTGTCCTTTCTAATGACTATTTAATATTCCATTGTTTATAGGTACCACAATTTTTGGATCCATTCGTCTGTAGTGGGGGCACCTGGCTACAATGAACATGGAGGTACATGTGTCCATATATCCTGGTTCTTGTTGCTCAGAGTAGATGCCTAGGATTGGTATGGCTGGGTCATAAGGAAGATCTATGTTTAGTTTTCTGAGGTATCTCCAGACTGCTTTCCAAAGTGGTTGTATTAGTGTACATTCCCACCAGCAGTGCAGTAGGGTTCCTCCTTTTCCACATCCCCATCAACATTTGTCATTGGCTGAATTTAAAATATAGGCCATTCTGACTGGGGTAAGGTGGTATCTTAGAGTTGTTTTTATTTGCATTTCCTTTATGGCCAGGGTTGATGAACATTTCCTCATGTGTTTCTTTGCCATTTTTATCTCTTCTTCTGAGAAGTCACTCTTCAGCTCCCTTGTCCATTTAATGGTTTGTTAGATTTAGGAGGGATTGGTTTCTTGAGTTCCCTGTATACAATGGATATTAGGCCTTTGTCTGATATATTGTTGGTAAATATCTTTTCCCAATTGATTGTCTGTCTTTCTAGTTTGTTGATTTGTTTCATTTTTAAGGCACAGAGTTGGAAATTGTTTCTAAATGTTTAATACCCAGCAATGATCTATACAAACCATTCAATCAATTAGAAATCTGTAATACTGAGCATTTTACTATTCGGCTCATTGATTGAGATTTTCAAGTATTTACAAAAGAAACAATTATGGAATTCCCTATCCACCTTCCTCAGTCCTTGGCATCTAGCAAAACACAAAGCAGACTCCACTCATTTCAAACCCCTTCATCAAACCATTGGGTTCCATGCACAATGCCAAGACTATTTTTGCCTTGGGGAAAAAAAAAAAAAAAAAAAACCTCCGGCCCAGCTAAGCAACCTGAGGGACCTGAAATCCCTATCAGCAATTGATCCATCACTGTTTAGGTCAATGACCTATGAAGTTAAAGGTTACAAAAAAGAAGGGAAATCTTCTAAAGGGAATAAAAAATTGATATTCCCAGATGTTGGCCACTCAGAAAGCAAAGTAAGATCTATGTCTTCTGCAAATGGCTGTTCTCCAGGGCGCTGGGCAGGAGGCAGCCACTTTATCTTCTGACTGTAAGAGCAGAGAGGAGGGAAACAATATATATGAGGTTCACAAGAAAGGCCACCAGGCTTTCCAACATGAAGGAGTAATGTTCTGGCTCTCATCCAACAGGGAATGCTAACCAAATGTTGTACTTAGCATCAGTTTCTCTAATAGGGTAATGCTCTCAACAACTTAAAGTATGTAAGTGGTCTCATTAATCTTTCTAACACCCACAAGTATAAATAGGTAGTTAGAAGAGTATTGGCATTATTCTGGGGAAAGGCTTTGGTGCAAGAGTTTAAAAGATTCGATTCTTAAAAGTGTCTTGGTTATACAAGGGGAGCTATTCCATATTACCATTTTTTCTTATCTTATTTCTTAAGCTTTTATTTTTCTCTTTCCTTTCTTATATACAAAAGAAGTAAAAAATAAAAAAAGCAAGTTTCCCAACTGGTAAATTTAGTTTGGGTTTTATGCCTCTAGTAAATAAAAATATGCCATTGTCTCTGGATAGGAATCTTCTCTTTTGTATTCAAATGTCTCAGAATAAAATTAGACATTGTGCATTCAAATGCAATAAACCACATTACATTTAGGAGTAATGGTATGAGGAATACACAGATCCAATGGGCTGTATAATTCAAATCACAAAGCCATTAAATCTGGCAGATTCAAAATGACAATATTAAAACCTATTTGTCTGTCCCCCACTAAAAATGCAAGTAAGTTTTCTCCCTCTTCAAAGGAGTTTATTTCTTATTGACTTGCGTAGAAGAACTCATTCCTGGGTTCTATCACATCTCCATTGGGACATTAGCAACAAACCACTAAGCACAACAATATATTCTCAGTGGGGGCTGAACAGATGAGGTTCAATTGCGTCTTCATGTAAAAGAATAAAATTCAACCTGCATTAAAGAAAAGGTTGAGCCATCATAAGCATATTAACTGAATGACTCATTTTATCTAGAGACACCATAAAACTTAACTCTGACCTCCATAAATTATGAAAGACACAGGTGTTTTAAAATGACATTCACTTAGAATAACTCAATTGCTCTCTGATGAATATGTCTGTAAAAATCTGAGAAAAACTTCAAGTTCTTATTTAATATGTAAGTCAGATGCCTGATCCAAATGTGAAGATAGAATAATGAAAGAAAGCAGACGTATATTATGCAATAAGAGAATGTAGGGACTGAAAAGCAAGTACATCTTTATAAAGCATTTTAACAAAGTGAGAGAAATGTTTCTTGTCCTTTAATAAAAGTTTAGATGAAGGTAGCTATAAAACGACCTGAAGACAAAACTTATCCTCACTTCTTCCCCCACCCTTCCCCTCTCCCAGCTGTTTATATCCCAAAAGCAGTCTACCTCTGAGCCATAAGCATCTCACAAGTGTTGAAAACACTAAAATTAAAATTATAACCATGTCCCTAATATTATAGCATCACATTTCTGCAAATAACATTTAAATCCACAGTTTCTGAATAACATGGAGGGAGGTTGCTAACAATTTAAAATTTATAATAAAATATGATTTGTTTTTCGGTCATGGGGCCTGAACTCTGGGCCTGGGCACTGTCCCTCAGCTCTTCAGCTCACGGTGAGCACTCTACCATTTTAACCACAGCGCCACCTCTGGTTTTCTGGTTGTTAATTGGAGATAAGAGTCTCACTGACTTTCCTGCCCAGGCTGGCTTTGAACTGCAATCCTCAGAGCTCAGCCTGCTGAGTAGCTAGGATTACAGGCGTGAGCCTGTATGATTTTTAAATATCACAAAATATGAATTTTAGTCATAATTTCAGTCACAAGTTTGTCTTTCTCCTCAAAATATATATATGTATATGTATATACATATACATATATATATATATGTATGTATGTAAGTATGTATGTATGTATGTATGCCTGGC